ATATGGTGTCTTGAAATGCACATGGGGTATACTAATGCATACCATTTTAAAAAGGCCAATTTCAATAAGATTAGGGCAATTTTACAACATATTGACTGGCATAAACACTGGAGATAAATGGAATTTCTTCAAAACCAAACATTAGAAAGGTACACTTCTCAGTATGTACCACTGATTAATATAAAAAAACAAAAACAAATTGAAATCAATGTGGCTTAGTGGGAAAGTAAACCAAGAAATGAAAATGAAAAGGGCATTTAAAGCATTTAAATCAGACGCATCCTATATAAGATATAAGGAAGCCAATATTTGCATGCAAAAAGGCAATCGCCTAGATGGGCTAAACCAGTAAATTAGAATGCGATAGCAAAACCAGCCCCCCAATTTTCTTTAAATTTTTATTTTTGTTGTGCAATGGCATAAAAATACAACTTTAGGCACAATATCGCGGTATAACTAAGAGATGATAAGTATTGCACTAATCATAGAGCTATACGTAAGCACAGGTTTAACACAATATAAGAAATTGCGGGGGGGGCGTGGCTAGCAGCCGACTCGAATGGCCGCACACTAAACCGGCTCCAAGCAAAACGGACAGAGACCGCGACTAAACGGAGGATTATAAACAAAATGGGGAACAACAAGAGACAACAAACCCCTCACCAGCCACAGGGGAAACAGCCAGCGGGTAAACCGGGCTCGGTTACCCGCCACTTCAAGGAGTACACAGACCGCATGGCAGACGTGGGAGACTCCATCATGGCGCCGGTGGCACCCCATATAGACTCAGAATCGCTGAGTCCTGCACAATCAGAAGCCTCATCAGCCTCTGTAGACGTGGACATAAAGGGCATACTCAAAAACCTACCGTCCAGAATGGATCTAGCACAAATGCTAGGTAAGCTAGAAACAACCTTTCAACTCAAAATGGAGGGCCTGAGCTCTGAAATAAGGCCGATAGGCAGACGGGTGCAAGACTTGGAGGACGACAGGGGCACATGTCACACTCAAATACAAGACCTCACCCATGCACTCACCATACAAGAGAGACACCTAACCATGCTCCAGAGAGCACTCGACGATATTGATAACAGGGGTAGGAGGAATAACCTGCGCATCAGGGGGTTACCAGAAGCAGACAGAGAAAATTTAAAAGACCAGCTAACCACCCTATTCAACCTTATACTAAATCGCCCTCCAGACTCCCCAGTGCTACTGGACAGGGCACATAGGTCTCTGCGACCCAAAAATGGCTCAAGTGAAAATCCACGCGACGTAATATGCCGCATACACTACTTTTCCCTAAAAGAAGACATCTTACGGGCACTAAGACACACTTCCTCCCCCCTTTTATACCAGGGACACGAAATCCAGATTTACCCAGACCTATCTTGGCACACCCTCCAGGCAAGACGGGCGCTGAAGCCGATTACAGACCAACTAAGAGCTCGAAACATACGATACAGGTGGGGCTTCCCTTTCGCCCTCATTGTTGGCATGAAAGGCTCAACTTACACAATATCCACTTACCAAGACGTCGCCCCCTTTATCGAATCCCTCAACCTGACAGAAGTCAACATTGCTAACTGGTACGCCCCTGACCCATCAGCCTCGCTAGATACCCGAGTACCTGGTCAAAACTGGCATACACCTTCGAAGAGACAAAGAGGAGGACAGAACAGCACGCCCCAGAGGGATGACAGGCAAACCAGAGGACCCACGGACAGATAAGGCACCTATCAAAGACAACACCAGATGGACACGACAAAACAAAGATTGACGCAACTGAACGAGATGACCGAAGAAGCAAGGAAAAGTTAAAGAAGAAAAATACCAAGGGATATACATCCACTGGGACAGATAGAGTGACTAGCAATGCTAACGCGGACAGACCTGGACATTTAAGCTAAAGAACAATGCAAGACATAGGACAAAAAAAAAAAAAAGGAA